GGGTCCAGGCCCAGCCTCCCCCCTCACACCCAGGGGTCCAGGCCCAGCCTCCTCCCTCAGCCCTGAGGTGCAGGCCCCACCCCTCCTCCCTGAGATGCCAGCCTCAGCGCCCCCACTCTTGCCTCTCCGGGAGGATGTGGTGCCCCAGCCAGCGATCTGGCACTGGTCTCCAGGCTGGGCGCAGCGGTTGGGCAGCTGCAGGACCTGGACGCGGGGCCCCTGCACAACGGGCCTGCCCAGCTTCAGCAGCATGAGGTCATGCTCATCTGTCCGCCTTGGCAGGATGGGGCCTGAGCCCTGGAGGTACTTGGGGTGGACCACGGGGTGGCCAGCCAGGCGGAGCTGCTCCCCCTGGAGAAGAAGCAGGTGGTCGTCCCCAACTCGAGCCCACAGGGACCTGGGGAGGAAAGAGTCACAGGGAGGCAAAGCCTTCTTGGAGCTTGGGCCCCGGGCTCGGGGTCCCTGGGGTGCAGGCAGGGAGTGAGGACCCACACCTGTGTCCTGAGGTAGGAGGGGTCTGAGGGAAGAGGGCCACAGGAGCAGGGGAGGCAGGGGCTGGAGAGGGAGTGGGGCCTGTGCCTGGACTCCTGGACATGGGGGCAGCGGTTCCTGGGTTCTGCAGGAGTTGAGGGCTGGGGGCTGGTCCTGGTTAGGTCTACCTCCTGCTTTCTCTCTAATGACACCCAGTCCTTCTCCCTGGGYGGGGACTCCGGAGGTGAACATTACCCTTTACTTCTAAGTTCCTGACCACATGAGATCCCCACTTGGGCCTCTTACATACAACTACCTACTCCCAGTGGAAGGGCAGAATCAGCTAGCTGGGCAGGCATCATGGACCCGGAAACACTGAGAAGGACCACACCGCCCCCTGGTGTCCACCGCACAAGCCCTGCCTCTCCATCTCCAGGAAGGCCTCCACGATTCTGGAGCTGGGAGAGACCCAGTTGTTCCTGCTCTTCCCGCCCCTCCCTGGGATTGGTTCCCACCCACTCCATGGCGTCCTCAGGAGCATCCCCTACTTGTCGTTCCAGCAGTGCGCTGCCGTGAGCACCCAGCTCTCGTCCACTAGGACGCCTGCGCAGTGGAATTTGAGGCCCTTGAAGAGGGAGACCTGCCAGGGCTGCGAGCCGCGCGTGCAGGGGGCGCCAAAGGCCGCAAGTTCCAAGCCCGTGTCATTTACTGGGAGCGCATCYGCGGCTGGAGAGAGAACGGAGAATGCGGGGCGGGGATAAGAGCCCGTAGGGAGAATCTGGGGATTGGCCTGGCAGGGAGGGGGACGCTGCCAGACACCAGGGAGTGGAGAACAGGGGGACTGCTTGAACCGAATGAAAGTGGGCGAAGAAAGGCGCGAATGTGCAAGGAGAGGTGGACCSAGTAGCGCAAGTCAGAATGGGGGGGTCTGCAGGGGCGAGGACCCCACACCTGACGCTGCGCGCACGGAGGGGTGGTAAGGCGGGGCCGCGGAGGACTGCGGCTTGGAAAGGGGCGGAGACAGACTGCGGCTGAAGATAGGGGGCGGRGCTAGAACTCGGCGGGACTCTAAAGGGGGCGGAGCTGGAACCCGGCGAGCGGCCAGGGGGTGGAAACAGAAGGTGGCAGGGCGGTAAGGGGGCGTGGCCAGAACGCAGGTGGCTGATGGAAAGCCATCRGGGAGGAGGGATGGGAATACGCAAGTGGAATTGGAAAACAGGAGGGGGTAAAAAGTGGCAAGGCAAAGCTTGGGAAAATGCGGCAGAGTGAGAAGAGGCGGGGACAGAATGAGTAGGGGGAGCAGAAGGACTGGGGCCGGACAGCACAGTCTGATGGGGCGGGACACCAGGGGCCGAGCTAGCAAAGGGGCTCCCGGCTGCGGCTGCGACCCGTGCTCGGGAACGTGGGGTGGGTGCGGGGGTCCCCAAGGGAGAAGTGCGCGAGGGCGGGTGGCGGCGCGTACTCCTCCCTCGGTCCCGGCCCTTCGGCCGTCCCCTGTTTCCCGTCTCACCCCAGAGTTGCGCCATCAATAGCGGCAGCAGCAGCTTCATCGGGGCCCAGACGCCAGAGGCAGCGGAAAGGTGGCGGTGCGAGGGTTTCATGGCGAGGACCAGGGCTGGGAGACGGGAGGCGGGTTAAAACAGATGCTCAGTCAGGGACCCCCACCTCGCGGCTCTGTCCGTCCTGCCTGGGCCACCCCAGATCGCCGCGACCGGTTTGACCTGCAGCCGACCACCGCGGGGGCGGGGGAGCTGGCAATTCGGGCCTGAACTGCCCTAATGGGAGCAATTACCCTAATGACACCCTTGGTAGCTTCCTCCTCGAGTGGCTTCCTCCCTTCCTCCCTATGTCCCAGAGGAGACCTCCGAGAGCCCGGGCGGCCGCGGTGGCCAGCCTTGTCGCGCGCCGGGTTTCACCCTCCTTCGCAGGTGGGGTGGGGATCCCAGACCTGAGCCAATGGGGACCTCTTCTAAATTGCACTCTGTGGGGTTTCCCCGTCCCACCAGTAGGGAAATCGAGGCTCAGACAGGGCTCCTGCCTGTGGCCGGAGGGTCCCCACCCAACCTCTCCGCATCCGCCCCGACGCGGGTGGACTGCATCCCGCTTCACCTGGGAGTCCTCAGTAGGCAGGAGGAAGAAGAACCAGAGGCCCCTGCCCTGCTGTGCGGGCCGCCAGCATCCTCTGCCCAGGGACCCCTGGCAGACCTTCCCTTTTAACCCTCGAGATCCCGGAAGCTTCCCCACCCTTCCCCCAGGGATTCACTCCCTCTTTTCCCTCTGCCTAATGACTCCGTGGGTGAGGCTGGCACCGACCTGGGCCCCAGATTCCTGCCCTGGGAGGGGCCCTGGAATACAGGCTTCTCCCTGTGACCCAAACACCCTTTTTGTGGCTGGATTCTTATGGGGACTGCCGGGGTACCCTGTTTCAAGAAGTCTTTCCAGGTGTGGTTGTGGTGGGGGGAGGGTGCCCTGAATCCAGGGAAKCCCCGGGTGGGATGGCAAGTGACGGTGTTCAGCCACTGGAGAGAGGAAGTGAACAGGGAAACATGCACCAGGGAGACAGGTGAGAGCCGGCAGAATGCGGAAGGGGAAGGAGGCAGAGGCCAAGAGCTGGATGGAAAGAGTAGGAGGGACACAAGCCAGCGGGTGAGGGGGACCCTGAGGAGCGAGGCGGAGGGAGGGAGGGAAACAGGAAAGACAGGGGAGGAGAGGAGCAGAACAAGAGASAAGGATGCTTTGTGTTTGAGCCCACCCGACAGCCGGCGCAGTGGGCTTCTTGTGTGTGTGACTGGCGCTCGGTGTTGGGGGGGGCGGTGGCCTTGCATCATACCATGCATGCCCATCTCACACCCTCCCTGCCATCTGTGTGTCTCCAGGTGACACTCGGGCTTATGAATCACAAGAGGCCCAGGCTGCAAGGGGCATCAACATCACCTGGGACTACTCCCTTATTTGGGGTGAGGAACTGGCAGGCTCAGAGATGGCAATGACTCACCAGAAGTCACACAGCAAGTCCACCTAACAACAGAGAGCCCTAATTCCAGCTCTGGGTCCTTACTCCTCATGCCAGATACCTCCCTTGCAAGGCGAGCAGAACATTGGAAAAGATCCTGAATTCCTGACGATTTATGAGGCACCTTGTCCTTTGKGAATTAACTTCAGAGGCTGTTCAGCTCAGCCTTGTCTGACCATCCTTTTGGAAAGGATGYTAAAGTTCTCTATGCATATCTGATGTGGCTGTGGAGCATTTGAAATGCGTCAAGTGTGACAGAGGAACTACGTTTCTGATTTTATGTCATTTTTTATTAAAATGGATGCATGTGGCCACCATATTGGCCAATGTGGGCCTCAATCAACTACTTGTCATGGAAGTTGGAACATAACTAGAGGTCCCTTTTGTGAGGCCTTGCTATGTGCGGGCTGACTTATTTACTGTGCTGTCAGACTTTTGGGTGCAGAGTTTTACAGCTAAGGAAACCGAGCTTCCGTCAAGGTGGGACCACTTGTTAGTTAAGAGATCACCTGGCTTCAAATCCTTGTCCTTCTTTCCCTTACTGGCCGAGTGACCATGAGCAGCAGTTTCCTTTCTCCATGCTTAGTTTCCTCATCTGTAAAATGGGTATGATAATAGTGCTGACCTTTCAGAGTTTGTGAGGATTGTGTTGGTTGATGTATTTAAAAGCCCTTTGGACCAAGGTCTGTCTGGCCCATAGTAAGTACTCCATGGATTCATTCACTCTAAATATTTATTACAACCTTGGTGTACATCAGGAACTGTCTCTGGGGTTAGAGATATGACAGTGAACGTAACAGCTATCCTCACTTCCAGAGTCACAGGTTAGTGCCAGCCAGGCCGTCCCTGATTCCAAACCCCAAGTTCCTTATAAAGCTATAGCGTCTCCTGCAGCCAAGGAAGTGCACAGAAGAGTCCTGGCTTAGGGTTTCGCGTGAGCAGAATGAATGAGATCAAATGTTTACAGGAAGATGGGGCTGAGGGGTGGGTCCTKTTTAATTGTTGTTCATGGTCTCCTGGATCCAGTCTACATATTTGCAGACTTTTGTGTAGACACCGGGCTTTCTGGTGACAGCACATGGATCTTGGCCCCAGGAGATAATGCCTTGAAGAGACCCGTTACAGACCAGAGGGCCCCCAGAGTCACCCTGGGCATGGGAAGAGAGAGAACCAGTCAGAGCAAAGGGCGGGGGTTCTGGGAAGCGGGGGATGGTGTGGGAAGGGAGGGAGGGGGGAGAGGATGTGTTGGCGACGGGACTGGTGATGGACTGGGGTGGTGAACTTGGGATTGTGGGTGGGAGTAAGGATGGCTTTAAGGTCAAATGAGTTTGGGGGGCTGGGGTTGTAGCTCAGTGGTAGACYACTTGCCTAGCATGTGTGAGGCCCTGGGTTCAATCCCCAGCACCACATAAAACTAAATAAACAAAATAARGGCATTGTGTCCATCTACAACTAAAAAAAAAAAGATGAGTTTGGGGATGGTGCAGTTGGAAATGGGGATGGGCATGGGGCTGGGGAGTGTGTTGGAGTCAGATATGGCAACTGGGGATGGAGTGGGTTTAGCTGCAGGGCAGGTGGGCTTGGCACTGAGGTTGGGGAAGGGGCTGGGGTGTGGTGGGAGACCTGGCCCTGCCCTCTGACCTGGCAGGAGTCCTTGCCCTCTTCCTTGACGCTGGCGCACAGCATGGTGTCCGTGATGTTGCCGGGGTAGGCGCTCTCACACTCCCGGTGCTCAATGATAGAGATGTTGGCGCATCGCAAGGTGTGGGGCAGGCGCACTGCAGAGACAGTGGGAGAGGCCGTGGGAAGCCAGCCCCCCTCCTCCGGGGAGAGCCCTTGTCCTCTGTACACACGGCCAACTCGACTCTCTGTACCAATAGCAAYGGTCACACCATTGAGCCAATCTGTCTGCAGTCGCTGTCTACATGTTATCTCTAATGCCACCCTGGTGTGTGTGGGGGGGAGAAAACCAAGCTTCAGAGAGGTGAAGCTCCTCRTCTGAGGTCCCCTGTTAGCAGTTTTAGATTGCACATCACACCTGTCCCACTGTGAGGCTCAAATGCGTGTCTCTGTCCCCTGCCCCCCACATGCCCAGTCCTGACTTTTCCATCTTTCCTCCAGCAGAGCCTACTCCCGACACCCCCAGGCAACCCCTCTTGCATCACTATGAATCGGACCTCAGAAGGTTCCCCTGGTCCCTGGTGTCATTTCGTCCTCGTGACCACCCCTCCCTTCCCACCCCCACCAGGTTCGCTCTATAGTCCCTACACTGGGGGCTGGACGTGGTGCCCCAGCCGGAAATGAGGCAGCGGGTGCCAGCAGTGRCGCAGTGTGACGGCAGGGAGAGGGGTCTCACGGCCCTGGTGATGAGGGCCGGGGAGGACATTTTCACCAGCATGATGTCATTGCGGTGGTCCTTGTTGGGGAGGCTGTTGTTGAAGCCTGGGTGGGGGAAGGACTCGGTGGCCGTTCGCCTCTGCTCACAGCCATCCTGATGCTGCAGGTTGTGCTCCCCCAGGACGACCACGTAGCTGCTGAGGTGGGAGGGACAGTGGTCAGAGATGGAGAGGTGGAGGGGACACACGCGCAGGGTTGGGGAGGAGAGATGAGTGACACCTTGGAGAACAAAGGGACAGGGCTCCGCTTCCAACCCCATCTCCCTCCGGAGCTCCCTTCCAAGCTCCAACCCCACCCCCAACCCATTCCCAGAACCACCAGGTCCCCAAACACCCATCCCTGGGTCTGCAATCCCAACCGATCCCACCCCTCCTGCTAACGCCCCCTCCCCCTCTGCGCCCTGCTCTCCACCCTCCTCCATGTCCTTCCTGTCCTCAGGCCCCCTGCCACCCATCTCTCCACCTCCAGCCCCCTCCCAGCCCCGCCCCAGCCCCCGCACCCACGGCTTGCGGCAGTGGGCTGCTGTCAGGAGCCATTTGGGGGCGATGAGGGTGGCCCCACAGAGCAGCCGCGTCTTCTGGAACAAGGCCACCTGCCAGGGCTGGGAATGAGGAGGACATTCATACCCCTTGATGATCCTGGTCTCTCCCCTGACATGCCCTGCGGGAGGTGGGGCAAAAGAGGGGCTCAGGCCTGAGAAGGGCTAGGCCCGGGAGACCCCGATGTGGGAGAGGAGAGTGAGGGGTGGGCTGGCCCCGGCCTGGGTCCACTGGGTGTGCCATGGTTGGGTCAGTGTGGAGGAACTGAAGTGCTTCCTCACTGGTGGCTCAGCCCTCCCCCCCACAGCTCCCTGGTCCCTCCTCTGGGCCCCCGACCTCCCCCCATGCTGGCATCTAGAGGGGTGACACCCAGCATGGCCCTATGGTGGTCTCCATGCCCATGCCACAAGGGTCTGTCTAGGTTTTGAATACCAGAGGGTAGGGTTCCCAGCGATGGCAGAACCAGGGCCCGGCCCTCCCCATCTGTCACCATCACAGTACCTGTCACCAGAGCAAGCGTGATGAATCGCAGAATCATCATGGCCTGGAGCGGGGCAGGGCAAGGCCCGGGTTCCTCTGGGGACAAGAAGGGAGCCGGCCCTCAGCACTCTGAGGGGAGAGGAGGGCTGTTCACGACACCCCGCCTCACGCCAGCTGCYCCCTCCCCTGGCCCTGCCTGCTTCCCCCAGGGAGGAGCCAGTCTGGGGAGCCCCCTGGTTCTCATAGCACAACAATCAACCTTGAGGTCAATCTTAGGCTCCAGGGCGGCCTGGAGGGGACTTGGGCCAGCTAGAAGCTTCTGGAATGCCAAGGAGCCAGAGGAAGTTGCTGGGAAGGGCTGTGGGGCRGGCCAGGGCCGGGCCTCTGGGCACACTGTGGAGGTGCTCTTCTTCTCGCCCCCCCACACCTGGCCAGGCCCCAGGCCCCACTGGGTAACCACCCCATTTTTTGTGGTCTCAACAGCAGGGCCACATGGAGGCTTTGAGGTCCGCCTCCAAGGAAGGAAGTGGTCAGCGTGGGACCGTGTCTGCCTTCCTCCTTTCCCCTTGGTGCACCCCTGCCCCTTTGAAAGACAGCCCGAGGGAGCTGGGCCGGGTGGACGGGAGGGCTGTGCCCTGAGATGCCCTGCCAGCGGGGGTGGGACTGAAGGGTGGACTGAGCTTCCCAGCTGGGGTCAGAGGTCATGGAGGTTGGGGGCAGCCGGTTGGAGGTGAGAGACCAGAGAGAGGTAGAGAGCCCCACCCAAGCTGGAAAGGACAGAGCAGAGGGGAGTGGGTACCGAGGCAGAGGAGGACTGGCGTCCAGGGTCAGCAGACTCCTGGAGGGGGCTTCTCTTCCCTCCCCGACTCACGGGCTCTGGGCTGGGGCTCCGGGGGCCCGGCGGTGGCAGCTGCGGCAGGCTGGGTCAGAGCGCCAGGCACCAGGCAGGCCGGCAGGCAGGGGTGGCCCGGGGCAGACCGGGATGACTGGCCTCCAAGCCCTGCCTTGCTGCCTGGGGGCGGGGTGTGGGGGCCTCCCTGGCACTCTGCTGCCCGYGTCACCTCTCCAGGCCCCTCTTCCCCTGTGTCATCTGTCTTGTATGCACCGGTCCCCTTCTTGCTCATCTCTGAATCTGTTTCTGTCATTCTCTGCCACACTGGCCCTCTGTGTGGGAGGTCTTCTTCCTTCTGTCTCTAGGCCTTCGTCCCTGTCTGCTCCTTCCTCCGTCTGGGCTCTGGGCCCTGTCTCTCGAGGCCTGTCCTTCTTCCTGTCCATGTCTCAGTGGCTCCCGAGCTTTCCAGTCTGTCTTCCCTCCAGTCCCTCTGTCTCTGCCTGCCCTGCCCCTTTCTCCTCSAAGCCCCAGCTGGCCGTGGCCCCTGGCCTCCTCTGGGCCCCTCCCTCTCCTTTCCAAAGATGGGGGAAACTGGGGCGTCAGGGAGGTGGGGCTGCTGCCAGGCGAAGGGGCAGGACGGCAGGTGAGAGAGGCAGGTCGGGGCCTGCACAGCCAGGGCCCAGCCAGGGGAGAAGAGCCCGGCAGGTGCCCCAAGCCCTAGGGCTCTCTGGATCCTCCTTCTCTGAAGCCTCTTCCCTCTGCGGCCCTCCCCACCTCCTGGGCCTCTGGATGCTGGACATCTGGGTCCAAGTCCAGCTGTGCACTTACTCGCTGCTGCGGGGCCTGGGCCTGACGACTTCCAGTCCTTCAGCCACCTCAGCCTCCTCATCTGGGAAACCCGGTGTGGAGCCCCACTTCTCCCAGCTGTTTGTTCTCAGATCTCCTCCCTGGGTCTTTCTCTGCTCTCTCCCTATCCAGATGTGGAACAAGGCGGGGTAGCCCTAGGTTCTGACAGCAGCCAACCCTGGCCTCAAACCCCGGTTCTGCCTCTTCCTACCTCTGTGACGTGGGACGAGGGACTCCACCCCACGAGGCTCAGTTTCTTCATCTGCAACATGGGGGTGACGGCCCTGCCTTGGGGTGGGGTGGGGGGTGGGATGAAGACTCCAGAGAGTCACGAGGAGAGCCCAGCTCTGTCGGGCTCAGTCAGTCACAGGCCTGGCTGCGCTGCTGAGCCCTGTCCCCCTCAGTCCCCAGGTCCCCATCCACACTTTTCAGAGGATGATGTTCTGCTGGAGAGAACCCCAGAGGTGGGCAGGACCCTTCAAGGCAGAGGCCACATTGCACCACCCTGGGCCATCCAGACATTAAAATAGACTGACTTCCTGCACCAATACAAGTTGGCTCAACACAAAAGAACCAAGACGCCATTGGCCAATGTAAAAAAAGTCACATGTCATAGACATTTCATTAAATGGTCACTGAAATTTGATTTTCAGTTGGCATTTGATATTTTCTTTTTCTTCTTTCAGGTTCTTCATAGGCCACTGAAGAGCATATGAGCTCTGGGCACTATTTCTATCATGCCTGATGGAGAAAGATGGCCTTCATTTTTAGTATTACCAGTAAATTTTTTTGCTCCAATCCTGTGTGATCCCTGAGGGAAAATCCTACACTCTCTGGTGTCTATTTCTGTACCTGGAGGTAGAGGAGCCCAGGAGGCTCCCTCCAGTCTCAAAGAGCTTAGGATCATCAGACAGACACAGCCCTCCTTCAGTTACACGGTATTTATTTCTGACAGTTGTGCAGTCCTCCCCTCAAGTCATGGGTCTCAGGAGGAATCGCAGTTCCAAGAAGTTCCCCAGATCAACAAAAGATTCTGGTGCTGAGGGTCAGAAAGGCCCCCAAGTTGAGGGTGGAGATGGAGGAAGCAGGTCAGTTGTTCCTTATGATCATCCGGATCCAATCCACATACTTGCAAACATTGGTGTAGACTCCTGGGATGCCTTTTTGCCCGCAAGGCTCCACGGACCCCCAGGACACCAGCCCCTGAAGAACTCCCCCGCATACCAGGGGTCCCCCAGAGTCACCCTGTAAGACGGAAKGCTGCATAAATAAGGGAGTCATCCTGCTCCTGCTTTCCTCCCCACCCCTCGCCTATCACAGATCCTTTCCTAGGTCTTGGGGGTGGTGGTCCAAGCCTGGTCTTGGGAGGGAGGAGCAAAGCCAGGCTCCGGGAAGACAATAGAAGAGGCCAGCCAATCGAAGAGAGCACACTGTCCCTGAGGGCCAATCCCAGGAAGGGAGATGGGACTCTTCCAGGACATTGGCTGGGACGCTGGCCAATGAGTGAAGAGAAAACTATCTCCTGCGGCCAATCCCAGAGAAGGAGGGCGGGACTTCACGAGGGCAGAGAGTTCTCRTAAGGACAGTGGCTGGGTACCGGGACGGTGAGATTTAGCAGCCTCCTCCTCCTTCCTGGGGGCTCCCAGAGAGCAAGAATGTGGAATCAGAGGGTAAAAGCCCACTGGCCCCTTCCCGTCTCTGTCCCCACATCTCTTTGTCACCCTGGAGCCGCACCAGCTGGAAGATAGTGTGGGGAATGYCCAGAGCCCTGGGTCTGGCAGCTCCAGATCCTGGCTGGTCCTTTGCCCTCCTCACCCTTTGTCCTTCTGTTCCCCCTCCCTTTGGGCCACCTGTCCKTCTCCACCTCCCTCCTCCATTCCCTCCCTCGCTCCGTCCTGTCCTCGTCCGGCCCTCGACCTGTTCTCCGCCTCCCTGAACCTCGCCTTCTTTCTCACCCATCTCTTCCTCTGTCCCCATTTCCACGAGTCCCTCCCTGCTTTGGTTTCCCTTCCTCAGCCCCCACTTCCGGTCCTGGGTGACCGTGCACCTCCTGTGTGTGCTCACCTGGCAGGCGTCCCTCCCAGCGACCCCGCCGGCGCACACCATGTTGTCGGTGATCCTCCCGGGGAACACGGCCCGGCAGGCGGCATTGGAGACGATGGGGAGGCTGAGGCACTGGAGCCGGTCAGGGAATGGGCCTGGGGACGGGAGGTCGTGCTACAGGGTCCCTCCAAGTCCCCCTCTTCATTTCCTTTGTCCCAACTCCAGAGTGTCTTCTGATCCTAGTTTATTTGACCCCAGATTCTATGAACCTAAACCTCTGGCCCCTGACTTCTAATCTCAGATATGAGATAAATCCCAATTTATACCCAGATCTGCAACATCTGGATCCCAGGACCTCTAATACCCAAGCCCCTGACCCTTGACACCCAGATCCTACTTATATATACCTTTACTCCCCTGACCTCACTCTGACCTGATTGCATCCCTGACCTCTGACTTCTGACCCCACACCCACTCCCTTCACCTCTTTAAGTCCTAGGAGATCCCTCCTGGTCTCTGACCCCAGACCTGGTCCTGGTGTCTACCGCACTCCCTTGCTGCCAGGCCTGACCTCTCTCCTGCCCTCTCACCCTCCACCCCGGGCTTTCCCTCTTCTGACCCCTGCCCAGGGGGCTCCTTACTCGATGGTTTGTTGGTGGTGCCCCAGCCGGAGATGTGGCACTCTGTGCCAGCTGCGGCGCAAGAGCTAGGCAGGGGCAGGGGCCGCACAGCGCGGGTCACACGCACGGGTGTCCCCAGCCGCAGCAGCCTGAGGTCGTGCTCGTGGTTCTGCAGGGCTCCCCGGTAGCTGGGGTGGGTCACGGAGAAGCCGCTGCGCCGGATCTGCTCGGCCCAGTCCAGCCTGCTGAGGCTGTGCTCCCCCAGGCGCACCCAGTACCTGCTGGGGTCGCAGCGGCTCAGCAGGTGGCAGGGCAGCCCCGCCCCCTCGGAGCCGAGCCTGCTCCGACGACGCTCTTAAACAGTGAAGCCCATGAGGTGGCTGGAGTTGACATCTTCCCTAGTTCAATGCCTGTCCCTGCCACTTGGCCCCACAGAGGAGTTGTCAGTACTGTCSTCTGAGCAAGTGAGTTATGCATGGCATCTCTGTCCTGCTGTCCCCATGTCTTTCAGTCCCTTCAGGTCTGATCTCCCCTTTCATCAAAAAACCCCAGAGCATCAGACCTAACAAGTGGCTCATCTTACAAATGGGGCTACTGAGGCCCAGGAAGGTGACAGACCTTGTCCCTGCGGTTGCACTCAGTTTGGGGTAAATGTGGTCCAGGACCCAGACTGGGACCAGTAGTGGCTGAGACTGGTGACAGATGCCATATAGGAAAGGGTGGCACATGAGGACCCTCTGGGTCCTCCACCCACTACACCTCACCCCACCCAGCCCCACCCTAGTCCCACTCTTGAGGAAGTTCTACTCCTCATCTAACCTCAGACTCTTTTGTTGCAGAACTAGTTTTGTACCCTTGGCACCTCATCCCCTAAGATCTATTCTGAGGGATGCCTCCCTGGGGGCCCTCCCTGGCACTTGCCTCCCCATCACCCTTCTTTGCCCACCAGGAAGGGCTCAGACTGGGGCTCACCTGCCGCTGCAGTGAGCAGCCGTGAGGACCCATCTGCGGTCAATGAGGACTCCCCCGCAGCGCAGGCTGGTGCCCTCAAAKAGCCCCACCTGCCACGGCTGCGAGTGAGGCCGGCACTCCACGCCATTGACAATCTTCTCTGTGTCGGCCTGGCTCGCCCCTGGGGACAGGCACTGAGCTGGAGAGAGGGGATCAGAGACAGAGACCAGGGGTCAGAGAAAGAAGGGGAGCACAGAGATGGAGAGAGCCGGTCTGAGACACAGTGGCCCAGCAGAGTGGCCCAGAGAGGGAGGGAAAGGGGACAGAGAGACTAGAGGGAAGCAGAGAGCCGGAGACACAGTGGCAGCAGGGCAGGCCAGGTGTGGGCCAGAGCGCTGCCCCCCTCCCGTCCTAGGGCCATGCTGGGGCCGGAGCTGAGCTGGGAGAGGAGCCTCCTCTGGCGTCCTGGCCCTGCCCAGGAACTCACCAAGAGTGCACAGGAGCAGGGTGATGCCCAGCCTCATAGCGGCCGCCGCCACARCCTGGGAGAAAGGGACTCTCAGGGGTGGCCCTTCCCTGGCCTCCCACCCGCACCCTCTCTCCCTCTCCCCTTCTCTCTGAAGATCTCTCAGGGGCTGACCTACTGTCCCCTCTACTTGTCCCCACATGCCACCCCTCCGTGGTGGATGGCCTGCCCCCGCTCACCTTCTCTGTGGCTTCGGGATCCTCTCTGTGGCTGTCCCTGGTTCCGCCTGCCTATCTCTGTGTCCACCTACCTGCCTGTCCTTTCATCTGCCGGCCACCTTTCACACTGGCCACCTGGCTCCTCAGCCACCTGTCATGCTGCCCCACCTGTCCCCTCTGTCAGCCGCCCCAGGCCCCAGGCTGWCGAGGCAGTTAGCTCTCTTTGTCCCAGCCCAACTGGGACTTCTGACTTCCGGCTTGTGGGAAGGGGACGAGGAAGATGAGGTGGGGCTCTCTAATCCCCAGGAGCTCTTCCTAGCTGACAGGTGACTCCTCGGAACCAAGGGGACAGGGCGGAAGGAACCAGGGTGGGAAGACCCGGCCCCTCCTCTCCACACCAGCTCGCAGCCGGCTGATGACTCAAAGCACCGGCTCCTGGAGCTGGGTTCTAATCCCCACTCTCCAGTGACAAAGAACCGGGAGGGTGGGGCTGCCTGGAACCTGTGGGCAAGGAGGCAGGAGGAAGGGGAGGCTGTGGAACCCGAATTCCAGGGCAGAGAGCACCCCAGAAAGAGAAGGGGGTGTTGCCAAACAGGTGTCCAGGGAGAGGCAGGGAGGCTCCCCAACTCTGTCCTGTCTGATTCTAAATACAGGGTTCATTCTGGTTACCCCAGGACCCTTGCCTTCCTACTTTTTATTTTTGTTTTTTGGTCCCGGGGATTAAACCCAGGGGCACTCAACCACTGAGCCACGTCCCCAGCACCTTTTTAGATTTAGAGACAGGGTCTGAGTTGCTTAGCACCTYGCCGTTGCTGAGGTTGGCTTTGAACTCAAGATCCTCCTGTCTCAGCCTCCTGAGCTGCTGGGATTACAGGTGTGCACCACCACACCCAGCACCATCCCCTCCTACACTGTCTGCCTCTCTCTCCTTTCTGTCCCCGTAGCTCCTCCCACCTCCCACCTGGACACTCAGCCTCTAATCTCCCCCCTCTCCAGTCCACCTCCTACATGTGGATGGCTGTCTACACCCAGAGCTGACCTGCTCACAACCCTCTTGTGCCCTCCCCCCCATATCCCAAAGTCCTGGCCCTCCAGCACAGATCTTCAGGTCCCACAAGACCCACCAGCAGCCCCCTCTTGGCTCTCTGCCCCCAGCTTGGCCTTTTGGGAACTAGAAATGCCTGGATTCTCGGTCCCCAGCCCAAGGTGCCTTTCCCTGCACCGTGAGGCCCCTTCCTGATCTCCTCATCATAGGAAGGAGCCCCCCGACCTCTCCAGGCTGGTCAAGTGCCTGTGCGTCCCCCTGGGAACCCACAGAGGGACCTGCCGAGAGCAGAGCGGGGCAGGAATGCTACCTGTGGTGTCCCTGTGTCCCTGGCATGGGCCTGGGGTACGTGTTTCTCGGTGGGTGAGCAGATGCAGGCTCAGAGTGTGCCTTGCCCATCCCCCTTTGACACCCCACTCACTGGTTGTGAGCACCTCTCAGTGCWCGATGGACCCCTGCACCCCAAATTTTGTTCAGTTGCAGGGACTAACAGTGTCCTGCACCCGCCAAGAGGGTCAGCGATGCCTGGTATTCTCATGATGAGGTTTCCTGCGGGGAGGAGGCAGAGGTCCCCACCTGGTCCAAAAACATCCTGAGATAGAACGGAAGGGCTGGCGGGGTGAGGAGTCCCGTGCCCAGCCAGGGCGCGTGTGGGCTGAAGGAGCACCGAGGTTTTCCCATCTATGGGGAAGAAGGGAAAAGGGAAAGGAAGACTTCAAAGTTATCAGAGGTCAGACATCAAAACGGAATCCAGCGTTTTATGAGGATCCACCCCCGAGCTGGGTGGATGAGTCACGGGGACYATGTTTCCTAGACCTGCATGTGGACATGTATAACAAGCTGTCCCGAGCTGAATGGGCCCGAAGCCCGAGTTCAGTAAAGGAAAGTCTACCCCGTCCAATGCCTTGTCCCAGAGCCACGCTCACCATTCCAAAGGAATAAAATGTGTGCCCTGGTCATTGTCAGCCACCCGTGGAACCCTGAAGAGGAAAAGGATGGCAGAGAGGCGTGGATTTGATCAATAGTGGGTACCTGTGAAAGAAGAGGTTTCCAGAGTCTTCCCCCAGGGCTGACGGCAACTCTGGAGAGGAATCGCTGGGTCAGGACCTAAGGGCCAGGTCACTGGCAGCGGCTCAAGCACCTTTAAGAACATACTCCTGCTGTGGATTGCTGGCACAATCATCCTGAAGCTCGTCCTGTCCCATCCTCCCTCAGGGACACCCTGGGCAAGGGATGAGGGGCAGCTGTTCCCTAGAAAGCTCCAACCTGTGTGTTGGTGGTGCTGCCACCACGMAGTCCCATTGCCATTCACTCCGCGGGTCCCTCCAGCACCACAGCATCTGCAAGGAGTGGTGGCTAGGGGGGTCACCCTTTCCTGCAGGTGGGACGTGCCAGCGCCCTCAGACTCAGCTCCATCCTGACTAAGGAGGCCCCATAGCCATGCTGGATGTGTGGGCTGCTGCTTCCAGGGTTAAAGGCTTAAGCCGTTATTGGCAGACAGTTCAGAGGTCACAGGCTCTGAGTCTGTGTTTCCTGGAAACCCAGCATGGGACCAGGAAGTGCCCCTCTCGCTCAGGGCAAATGGCCTGAATCCAAAAGGACAGTCAGAAGCCCAGAGGCAACTGGGGCCCTCACAGTGGTCCAGACCCGGGAAGCCTGAGAAGCTGCCAAAGCCTGCCCCGTGAGGGACACTCTGGGCGCTGGTGGGAGCCCGCTGTGTTGTGGTGGCCGGATTCCAGAGCCCCGTTTCAAGGTGGCTTGCTCTCCAAGTAATGGCAAGAGTGGGCTTGAGTGAAATTTTTAGATGAGGAATACATTGTTCCAACCCACTGCAGCCTGAAACGTTATGTGTGTGTTTGGCGCTGTGGGTGCTCAGAGGCTCAGTAGCTATTTCTTGACAGTGCCAAGGCAGAGGGGTTCTGGTTACAACTGAAAAATTTTCAGAAATTCAGCCTCGTACTCTGTGTGGCCAACCCCCTCTCCTGTAYRCRAGCTCTTTGTGTGAAGGAGTGTGTCGGACAGATCCCCGGGACAGGGGCCACATCATCAGCCGATGTACCTGTGTGCCAACAGCCTGATGGCCTATCTCTGCTTCTGGGAAGAGTTGGATGTGGTGAGTGTCATGCCCGTGGAGAGGCTCAGAACTCCATGTCCTCAATCACGGAACTTTGGCTGCTGAGCACGATCCCGTGTCACTTAGCCATGGGGATATGTCCTKGGAAATGCATTTGTTTTTGTCATTAGTGCACACATGGTAAAACTCACTCACTACCTCAGTGGTCTAGGTCCGTGACTCCACATGGCCTCTTAATGCCATTGAGTAGTGGAATATGGGAGATGGAGGTGTTCTGTTTCACAGTAAATATTTTTTTGGGGGGTGGGTACTGGGGATTGAGCATAGGGACATTCTGCCACTGAGCYACATCTCAGTCCTATTTTGTATTTTATTTAGAGACAGAGTCTCACTGAGTTGCTTAGTGCCTTGCTTTTGCTGAGGCTGGCTTTGAGCTTGTGATCCTCCTGCCTTAGCCTCCCGAGCCACTGGGATTATAGGTTTGTGCCACCATGCCTGGTTGTTTCACAGTAAGTGGAAAAAAAATATATATATGTATATATATATTTTTAATATTTGTTTAATTTTTTAGTTGTAGGTGGAAACAATATCTTTATTTCATTTTTATGTGATGCTGAGGTTTGAACCCAGTGCCTCACGTGTGCTAGGTGAGTGCTCTACCTCTGAGCCACAGTCCCATCTCCACAGTAAATAGTCTTTATAAGGAGAAGGCATGCACTCTAATAATCATTAAAAAGTTGGGCTAGGGCGCTTGCATAGCATATGTGAGGCACTGGGTTTGATCCCCAGCATCACATAAAAATAAACAAATAAAAAATAAAGATATTGTGCCCATCTGTAACTAAAAAATACTAAAAAAATAAAAGTTTATACAAACATGAACCAGCAGCATAGCCATGTGTCCTCATGATCAAGTACACTGTCCCGAGCCATCCATGGGCTGTGTGTGTGTGAGCTGTGCACATTTGAGAGTATGAGGAGACTGGTCTGTCATTGGGCCCTGATTGGACCGTTTCACTCAAAAGTGCCTGCCGTCTTGCTCTGCCTGTGACCCCACACAGCACCTGAGAGGGTGTGGCTTGCCAAGGGTCAGTCAATCTGCTGACCACAAGACATCACCAAGCAAGACTCCACCCTTCGGAACCCTACCCCTTRACTTATTTGGGTGGAATATTCTATGGAATGTCTTCTCCCCAGTAAATAGGGGGGTTCCAGGGGTGCTGCTCTCTCTTGCCCTGCTTGCTCCTCTTGCCCTTCAGCCCAGGAGCTGACCCCTGAGGTCTCAGAGCCATCCCTGACTCCAAAAAAAGGTACTTTGGGTTTGTGTGGTCTTTTCATTGCCGGCCCGATTCGCACAGAGCGACCCTGACTCCGTTGCCTGCMGGGACGTGGGCACAGAACATGATACTTCATCATCAAGTGCATGACRTGATGGTAGGTGCCACCTTTGATTCTACTGCGAGTGCAGTTGGTCTGTTGGCACCTTGCCGTCACTAGGCGATGGGAATTCTTGAGTCCGTTTTGATCTTCGGGACCACCAGTGCACACGCGGCCGTCGCTGACTGAAGCCTCCTCGTGTGGCCTGTGAGCTCCGCTGAGCTGAAGGAGGCCGGCCTCTGGAGCAAGAAGTTCTCCCTGGAATTTTTCCCTCCTCCTTCCTCCTCCCACTTCTTTCCCAGAGTGGCTCCTCGAAACTGGAACTTCTCTCCCCCAAAGCAAGT